CCGGGAAATAGGTAAACCTTGGGTTGGAAATAAAGAGTTATGGCTGAATGGAACAAATTACCAAAGATCATCACCATTAACTCTAACTTCCTGGGAAGATTCAAATACACCTAGGATGAACAGATATACGAGTGATACAGGTTGGATGTAAACAGGGCTGTTGTATCCTTTTCCCTGATGCTCATATAAAGAACTCATGTTACAAGATAAAACTTGCCTGTATATAACAACACAACTGAGCTGTAAGGTTTGTCCTTTTTTATTCCTAGTAATAAAACAATTGTCGTTCCTAATTTTCCTTAAAATTTTCAGGACTCACATAATACAGATATATCTCATATAATCACTTATAGTACATACAGTTATATTCTAGATGCAAAATTTCTATATTTCTTTAATATTTCACCTGTTTTCAAACATCCATTCTATTTGCTTGGAGACATTATTTATCTGGGCATTTCTATATACATTAAGCAATGGGCATTCCAGTATATAATGTGGCAGGGTGTGGGATCTGGATGTTCTACAAACTCTACATTCGTTACCCTGTTCACTTCTCTCAGCTCCAAGTTCCCAGTAATATTTATATCCCTCCCTCTTCGTCGACTTCAAGGGAGCTTTTGATAAAGCCAACAGTGAAGTGATCCTTGAGGGCCTCACGCACATTGATGTGAAGGGCAAACTCCTCACGTGGATTGCTGACTACCTCTCCCATCGACAGGTGCGTGTCCGTTTTCAGGGCCACTACTCTATGATCAGGGACCTTGATCTTGGCACGCCTCAGGGAGGTGTACTCAGCCCTGCACTCTTTAATGTTCTCATGAACTCCATCTGCCGCCTCAACGTCATCTTTGCTGAGCGCCCTAGACGGTCACATCATAAGCTACGCTGATGATATTCTCCAAATTACTACAGTGCAACATGAACAACCTATACTCTCCACGTTCGCCCGGACCTGTCAAACACTCGGGCTAGTCATCTCACACACTAAAACCAAGTTCATCTCACACTTCCGGCGTCAGGCACCGCTGACTCTGCAAGGACAAGACATCGATTAAGTACGCACCTACAGGTACCTTGGTCTACCTGTGCGAGCCACTACCAGCGCCACCACCTCCGCTGTACTTAATATGAGGAAAGAACTAGGTATACCCAGTGTCAGAGATAGAATAATTGAAGTCAACCTCATGATAGCCCTGAGGCTTCTGCGAGGTGATCCTGATAATATTGTTTCCTTAAAATTGCTAGAATGTATGAACCATGGGACTACTGAGTCTAAATGGTTCCAAACTACAGCTACGCATATGAAGATGTTTGGACTAGACCATCTGTACAAAGTTGAGACACAACAGCGCTTCCTTCCACCCTAGCGGACAGTTCCCTTCGATATCATATTACCGACATATCCGCCTAAAAAATTAATTAAACAAAGTATTTATCTCTAACACACTGCCAAAGTGAGAGCTCTTGAACACATACACGCTCTACAGACTGATGATAATATCACACAGACCATCTACACTGATGGATCTCTAAACACCGCCTGTGGGAGGGCTGGAAGTGCTATTGTTGTGACTCAACCTGACGGTAATATAATTGAGAAAGGAGTTAGAATTAGCAACTGGGCATCCACTCTACAAACTGAACTAGTTGCCATACTCACAGCTATTAAATTCATTGAAACCACTGTCACTGACAGTCTCATCATCACTGACTCTCTATCCTCACTACTTGCCCTTGACACCTTCAACTCAAGTTGTCACGAGCTTGTCTCTGAAGCCAGACACAAATATGCGTACCTTGTTGACCGGGGTGTCAAGGTCAAACTGTTGTGGATCCCCTCTCACATAGGCCTCATAAAACATGACAGAGTTGATGCCCTCACCAAACTCGCGTCTAACAAAGACACTGTTGAATACAATTTGCGTCTGTCAAAAAGATCCCTTAAAACTGTAAATAGGAAAGAACTTATTAATGAATTTGACGCGAGTAGACAAGTGCAAACAGGCACTAGTCGATCCATAGTTTACCATGATGAGATGTATCAAGTGAAACATGCATATGAAGCAAGTAACAAGATCACTAGATTACAAGATGTTGTCACCGCTAGATTAAGGTTAGGATATAAGTACCTCTGGTAATATGTTCCTCAAACAGATGTAAACAAGACTAAATGTAAAGTGTGTGGCCAGACATATAGCCACACACTTGAACACTACGTCCTCGACTGAGTGAAAATAGAACCCTTTCGGGACAGGTCCAAGCACATTGTGTGTGAAATGGCGCAACACTTCATCTCTAATGGTATGGTAGCCGACAAATTAAGATTGTATCCACTTTTTTGCACTTAGTAACTATATCAGTTCTCATGTATAGAACCAAATACACAATGTGCTTGAATACTTCTCACACAAATGTGAATAACAAAGTGTGAGGCCAGACATACTGCCTCACACACCTGTACTCACGCATTTGTGAATAAGTTACCCTTTATGTATAGAACTAAGCAAATAATGTAATTGAAATACTGTGTAACATTCAGTGCCATAATATCCTGACCACGGGGGGTTACTTATTATGACCCGTTGTAAACCCTACTCTGTAATCCTTTTGCGCTACCACTCACAGGATGAGTGTGGGGTGCACAATAAAGTAGCCGCTGTAAGCGGCAAAATAAAAAAAATCACCTCCGCCCACGTCATCTCCCAGTACCGCCAACGAACGAGGCTCCTCCAGTCCCTCACTCACGGCCTCAAAAGGGCCTCTGTCAGGGTTCTACGTCTCATGTACATTGCCATCGTCAGAGCTGTCATAGATTATGCTTCTTCTGTCCTTGTAGTTACCCCCCAGCGCGAGAAACAAAGCATAGAGAAAATCCAAAACAGAGCGATGAGACTCATACTCGGCTGCCCTATGACCACCAGAATAGAAGTCATGCAGCGCGAACTGATTCTGCTCCCTGTCTGCGATCGAATTACCGCTCTCAATGCCATCCTTGGTGCTAAACTTCTTCGCAGTGAGAAACCGACTCCCCTGTCGCGCTCACTGAACTCACATCTTAACACCCTCCTGCGCCGGCCTGTCCCCATTACCTTTCCCTCTCAACACTGGCCCGTCCACACTGCTGCTGACATCCTGCGTTATCACCTCTACACCCCTTCGACCTCTCTCCCTCCCGAGTACACTCATCCGCCTCTACCGCCGTGGACTTCCCGAGTGTTGATGTTGTCGTCCACACCTTCCCTGGTCGTAAATCCACCCAACTGCGGTATATGCTCAAACTTAACTGCCTTGAGCAGATTAATGATGTCACCTCCTCTCTTACAACCTCCCACCCCCCTATCCTCGTCTACTGTGATGGGTCTGTTACCACGCTGGGCAGCGCTGGGGCAGCTGTGTGGATCCTGAGCGCCAGGCCTGCAGGAAAATCAGGGTCCACGACTGGGCCTCCTCCACTGACACTGAAAGCACAGCCATTTTCGCGGGCATTCATGAGGGGGCGACCTATGCTCGCACTGAACGCCGGAACCTCCTTATAATCAGCGACAGCACTTCTGCGCTAGCGAGGCTCAAATTACCCTCCCCCTCCTCACAACACACCCTAGCCGCCGTCGCCGGGCTAGAACAAACTGATGACATCCGTGTCAAGTTTATTTGGATCCCGTCACATATAGGAATAACTGCCTGTGACACTGTTGATCGACTTGCCAAAGAAGCTACACAAGAAGAAGATATTGAAGCCACCCTCGCCCTCTCCCTGAATCATCTCAAATCTCGCATACACGCCACACAACGAGAAGCATTCGACGAAAATTGGACGCACGTGAAACAACGGGGCAGCGTCACACTACTCCACTATGACGCTGTAACCGGTGACGACAACCGCCACTACAAAGAATATCAATCCCTGACTCGATCTCAACAGATTATGTACATGAGACTGCGCCAAGGGTACAGGTACCTATGGGAGTACATTGGCAACCCTGAGCCAACACAGGTTTGTTCTCCAGGGCATAAGGATAAATCACAGAAACATTGGTTACAAACACGTGTCCGAAAAGTAAGACAACAGTAAAACTCCTATATAGCGCCATACACTATATGGATGGCTGTGTATCTGTATACTGTATATCTGTGTGTTTGTGAGCATGTACTTATCTGAAAGTGTATGCAGGTACGAATGAGTTGTGTGAGTAGACCAAACGTGGTTGGTCTGATGTGTCATGATAACTGAGGGAGTAACAATTCACATCAAGCATAAGCGTCAAACTCAGTTCTCAAGTGAATTGTGATGCATAATTGCCACCCCCCCAAAAAAAAATAAATAAATAAATAAATACAAAATAAACAATCATTCAATTGTCATTAATATATACAGGGGTCTACTCTGTGCCATGGGATGAAGTACTGGTGTGGTGTAGCTGAAGGTTGACAATCTCTTTCTACAGCCACCAAGAGCAGACAAAAACCCATTTTTCATGTCTTACCCTGAAGTTGTAGTAGTTGTGAACATTCTTGGTGTACTCAGCCTAGAAGAACCTTCTGTCGGGCATGAGGTACATACAAAACCACTATTGCGTCCACGAAAATCAAGATGTTGCTTCTCCAACTCCCCCCCCCCCCCCTGCTGCGACCCCGCCCAGTGACCACTCACCGTGAACCTAATAATAATAATAATAATAATAATAACAATAATAATCCGTGTGTGCGACAAGCCAGACCACGGGAGACAAAGACTCACAAACGTTTTCATAAACATCCGCTTCATTCTTCTCACTTGTAGCCCCCCCCATGGCTCCTCCCACTCCACACATTCCCCGTGACCTCAGAAACCATTCAGTGAAGTCCTTCATACGATCCTTGGGTCCTCACTGGCCGTGGTGGATGTCTGGCAGCGTCGTCTGCTAGAAAGTAGGAAATAACTTCTCCCCCCCCCCCTCCGATGTGTCTCTCCGGAGTGTTAGCTTGTGAGAAGCATAAAGATGTGGACACAACTCAAGAGCAGTTAGTGAGACAGTGTCCCTACTCCTGACGGGATCTTCTACCAACTCCTCCTTTTGCCCCTCTTACAGTAAGTAAGTCTGGGTGTCTTAAAGGGATCCTGCCACGCTTAGTGCAGGCGTCGGGGTGCTCCTGACCTGGGAAGTTGTGAGTTGTGATACAGTATTGTAAAGTTCACTAACGACTTTTGTAAATGGTGCTCCCTCTTAGTGAATACACGGTTGGTTTCCTTTTGCAAAATATCAGTACCACTTCACTTGTAACTTGGGGACTCGTGACATCAAACGACACCGACGGCTAGTGCAGACGAAGGTATTATTGCTCAAGACATTTCTCCTTCCTCTCCTTCTGCCCTGGTTAACTTGCCACGTCTTGAAGGACTCTGACGGCTAGTGTAGACAATAACATTACTTTTGACGATAAATCATAAGGTTCTCTTTCCACACCAGGAAGGACTCTTGGGGTGCCCTTTCATTCGAATGGAAAGGCTCGGCTGTTGTATATGACCTCTGATGTAATATTAAACCTCTGACAATACAGTAAGGTCGGGTATCCTAGCGGGTCCTGTAGACTATACACGAGACGAAACTATAACTAAAGAAAAAGACAAGAGTGATAAAAAAGGTCAAATCACACTAACCAATTAACGAGCACGAGCGGAGACTTCGACAGATAGACGATGATAAAAAAAAAACCTGACGAGAACTCAATAAAATAGCAATTAAAAAAAAAGAAAGCCAGGGAAGGCGTTGGTGTAAAAGACAACAACAATAAGTGATGGCAAGCGTAACAAAAGACAGTGGGATAACCCAAAGAAGGTTAATATACAGTATGTGGGGTGAGAACGGAGAAAGTTTCGACAGACGTTAAGACTTTCATGAAATTCTCTCAATAGGTGACTGATCGATACAGAAGAGACGGACTCTACAAACAACAGGAGAACTTAGAAGACATAACAAGAAAGAGTGAAGTAAATCGAAGACGGAGTTTAGTTACACAAGGAAAAGAGAATTATTCTTATTGCAAAATAAAGGGCCTATTAGTCACAACAGTTACACACGAACACACTAAAGTCAGCTTTCCTGTATAACAACGAGCCGCAAACAGTACTAAAGAGGCAGTACAGACACTGATGAAAACAGCAAAATGCTGAATTAAAAGTAAAAAAAAAACACACACACCAAAAAACGATAAAGTGAACTAAGCTACCCTAAAAATAAGGTTAAACCCGTGTTGAAAGGACGCACACACACACACACACACACACACTGACCAACATGTCCAATTATTATAACAACACCCACATTTTCTATGGGTCTTCGACAGCAGAAGTCTTCGCTTGGACAGACGACCAACTCACAGCCATGAGCAGCAGCCGCCAGGATGAAAATGCTGATCAGAAAAACTTCTGCCACCTGGACGTAGCCGAGTGGAGTGGCGAGGTGAGTACTGTGTGTGTGTGTGTGTGTGTGTGTGTGTGTGTGTGTGTGTGTGTGTGTGTGTGTGTGTGTGTGTGTGTGTGTGTGTGTGTGTGTGTGTGTGTGTGTGTGTGGTGTGTGTGTGTGTGTTTGTGGCTGTGTGTGGTGTGTGTGTGTGTGGCTGTGTGGCTGTGTGTGTGTGTGTGTGTTTGTGTGTGTGTGTAAATAATAATAATAATAAACGGTTTATTAATAGAGTTGTAGCCGGTGCCTGAAAATATACAAACTTACATGTGATTTAGACAATAATATACGTTGAATACATTTACAGGGCTGTACAGTACATAAATCAGGAGTTGTTTATTATATTAACAATAGATGGGATGGTGCTGTTCTTATATCTGTCAGTGCGGGCTCTTATGGGCTGAATTTTGTTGTAGTGGCGGACTGAGCGAGGTGGGCGGGGGACTGCCGGTGGCAGTAGGTGGCGATGACGAGGAGGGTGCAGTAATCCACTGACAAATCCTGCTAGTGCGTGGTGGTGGAGGTCACTGAGGGATGGCATTTCCAGGGTGGAGAGAGCGTTGGTGTAGCCGGAGTAGTCTGCGCCGAGCATGATTCTGCAGGCCCTCTTCTGTACTTTCTCCAGCTGACGTTGTTGGGTAGAGTTGAGAGAAGACGACCAGGCTTGTGACGCATACGTTAATTTGGGGAGAATAAATGCGTTGTAGATAGTCCTCTGCTCTGGCGTGGGTGCCCCAAGTGACCTGAGTCGTCGTAGCATGTAGAGACGGTACGAGGCTGCCTTGATAGTGTTGTTTACATGGGCCTTCCAGTCCAGTTTGTGGTCTATAGTTACACCCAGGAGTTTGGCAGACTGCACCAGCTGGAGAGGATGGGCACCCACTGTGACTGCTGGAGCTTGCACTGGAATGGTGGCGGTATTGATGTGCATGGCTAAGGTTTGTGTGTGTGTGTGTGTGTGTGTGTGTGTGTGTGTGTGTGTGTGTGTGTGTGTGTGGTTTAGCTGTGTGTGTGTGTGTAGCTGTGTGTGTGTGTAGCTGTGTGTGTGTTTCCACTACTACAAATAACAATTATAATAATTTTGAATATAGCACTGCTACTACTAATAGTTATCTAATTATACTACTTTCTACTACTACTGTTACTGCCAAAACTACAACTACTACTACTACTCCCACCAACACTCAACAATATCACAAGTTTGTGTTCTTTTCACCTGTGTCTTAGGACTGTGTGGCCTGGGGTGAATATGTGTGCGCAAAACACAAAATCGACGCTAACATCTGGTCCTTCGGCAACATTACAGGGAGGCAGCTGGTCAACTTCCTTCACTTAGACATATGCGATATAGTGGGCACTGAATACGGCAACATCTTCTACACAGAGCTACAGACCATGAAGACCATACCACGCCCAGGTGATTTAATATTCCCCTATTGTCTTCCATGGCAGTGAGAAAATCCCCCTCCACATCTAACCCTGGTTGTGGGTATTTTCCTACTGTGCCGAATTTGTTTTCCCCTCCTCGATGCGTATTTTCCTAAAAGAGCAGTTAGTCACTAAGGTTAGGAGGGATTTACCCACTGTATCAGGGATTTTTCTTTTTAATGTTTTGATACTCGTTTTTCACCAAGAGAGGGAGAGTAGATAGTAGTAGTAGTAGGCAGCTACCAAACAGGGAGGTACTACCGCCTGGGAAGATATTGGAAGCATAATGTGTTGTCTAATGGTAGACCCTGCTGCCATATGTGACCAAGTCCCAGGTTGCTGTTCTGACTTTCTACCTCATTTACACATAATTGCAGGGTCTCAATTGTTTCTCTTACTATTGACAACACAACATACATATATTGTTTCTCACTCGTTATATTGTATATTTTTTTATTTATGGCCTATTATTATTATTATTATTATTATTATTATTATTATTACTATTACTATTACTATTACTATTACTATTACTATTATTATTATTATTATTATTATTATTATTATTATTATTATTATTATTATTATTATTATTATTATTACTATTATTATTATTATTATTATTATTATTATTATTATTATTATTATTATTATTATTATTATTATTATTATTATTATTATTATTATTATTATTATTATTATTATTATTATTATTATTTATAATTTTTATTAGTATTAATGTTTATTTTACTATAATTTTTATTTATTTTTATTAATTTTATTATTATTATTATTATGATTATTATTATTATTATTATTATTATTATTATTATTATTATTATTATTATTATTATTATTATTATTATTATTATTATTATTATCATTGTTTTATTATATTTTCGCCCCCCAGGCCTTGATGTGAGACATTAAAAATGACCTGTGCCTGGGTGGGTTAATGCTCGTAAAAAACAAAACAAAACAATAAAATAAAATAAAATAAAATAATAATAATAATAATAAGAGAGACCACACAAACATCATCCTAATGTTGGTGCCAGCCGAGGACATGTTGTTGCTGTTAAGATGTGTTCTGCACTTCAGTAAGTAAGTAACTTCTGATACTAGACGACCATCATTAAAAACAACGAAGGTCTTTAATCGCGTATCAAGGGTAGTAGTTCACTAGTCCAACGACGATAACAAATTAGAAGAGATAATACTTTGTGTACATAGCTATCACTTCAACTCTCCTCTCATCACAGACTACAGACAAGGTGGGTCCGGTGGGTTGACCACAGACACCGGTGACGCCTCCACGTCTACAGGCAGTCTGCCCTCCTGGTGGGATAACCTACAGGATTCTCCACTACCTGACGGATTTCCCTGGAGCCAACTCCTTCACGATGCCGTCCTGCAGGACTGCCCTTTGATTCCCTTAACTAGGGATCTGCACGCTATTAACATCGGTAATTAGCAACTAAGAATGATTTAATTTTGTTGGTGCTGAGGAAATAAATAATACTAAGATTAATTATTCTAGTTAGGAATTTTGTTTCATTCTAACGAGAGTTAATTGTATATGTAAAAATCATCCTAATACCGTGTCTCACTTTAACTACTAAAGTGATCAGGTTCTTTTCATTTCTTTATTAAAACTAATCAAGTTTAGCACATTTCTCTGCTTTCAACAACAAAGATCGTCAAGTAATTTAGACACCAAACACAAAGAATTACATACGTTAATTTTTGTTAAGTTTTGAGTTTATGTAATGTGTGGACCTGGTCAGATACAGTAATGTAAATATTGCCTCAAAAATATTATTGTACTGAGTAAATAAGATTGATAATTAATTTTGTTTTCCCTTGTAGTGATCTTATACATTAGTTTGTCAAAATTTCACTTTTGATGAAGGGCGTATAAACTTTCTTTAAACCGGGCTAAACGAACCAAACTAACCTAACCTAATCTACACAGATTATCCCATTCTTATTGCCAAAATTGATTATTCTCATCAGGACTTTACACCAAAATTTCCCAACTAAAAAAATCTACCTACAACAACTTATCACATTTTTTTCAGTATATATATATATATATATATATATATATATATATATATATATATATATATATATATATATATATATATTTTCGCCACTTATCAGCTCTATCCAGTGTTAGTACAGGAGGAAACTGGGGACCGGTAAACCTGTGGTGTTTGGTAGTGAGGGTCACACTGTATAACACCCTGAAACTTAGTTTTTATAATTCAACATTTAATACCAAGAAACATTGGTGCTACTGTAGCGACAGGTCTACAAAGATATCTTTAGTCTAACCTAACCTAACCTAACCTAAATATCTTGTAGACAACACACTATAGTAGCTTTATTATTATTATTTATACACAATCAATTTACCTGTTCTGATGTGACTGATAATTTAAAAACAGTTGGTACTGACAAGACGTTAATTAAACACACAGTAACCTCATTCTCTCTTCAGTTTTCCTTTTGTCTCTGTTTATCTGTCTTTTTCCTCTACTGAAACAAAGATTTAGTAATTATTTTCATATATTATGAAAGACGAAATGTTTTAAGTTTGCCTTCATATTATTCCGTTTTCTGTAATATCTATAAAATTTTCTTTTCAGCGAGATTTTCCGCGGTAACTAAGATATTATGCCACTGTAATACAAATAAGTAGATAAAATCACGTTAAAACATGCCTAATATGATAACTAATTCATATTTTATTTTATTAGGAAGGAACGACTGTTTAAGAGGTAATATTAAAGGTGACGGTTATCATCAGAAGATGCTTACACAAATGGTTATTTTTTCCAGAGATGTTTGTGTGGATGATAGTAAGTATTAAAAACGATACGACAATTTTTTCCTTTCTTTTTAAGTAATATTTTTTTTGTCGTGTTACTCCTCCCTTCGATCATAAATCACCTGTAGTAGGCAGGGCATGGCAGAAGAGGGAAATTACGGTATAAAACTGATCAAATGGTAGTATCAAAAGGCCTCTACGTGTTTTGTAGGAGAAGGATTTAATTATTTACCGTAGATAAGACGGTGTCAATTCTCCTCTACGGCGACCATCATGCTGGTCCGCTCATAACATAAAAAGGAGTGAATCCAATATTGTCAACATGTTCAAGACAGGATCAGCACCATATGGTTGAGAATGAATAAGACCATAATAGGGGTTTGGATACCTTACGTTTTAATTTGGAATTGCGTAAGAATACAAATCATTAGTTGTTGTGCTTCCACAAGCCGAGTTGGACGCTTTCCCCTTGAACCCAATTATGGTGTCGTCTACCGGAAAAATCATGTTATCGTAAGCCATCTGTGGTTCTTGAGGATCAAAACTGTGTAAAATACTTATTATGTGTTCATGGACTCCTTGGAAGGCCACGCAAGTGTCCAAAATGCGTGTTTTTTTTTGTTTTTTTACGGGGATTAGCCCACCTGGGCACAGGTCACTGACCCACATCGGGGCCTGGGGGGCGAAAATATAATAATAATAATAATAATAATAATAATAATAATAATAATAATAATAATAATAATAATAATAATAATAATAATAATAATAATAATAATAATGATAATAATAATAAAAATAAAAATAAAAATAAAAATAAAAATAAAAATAAAAATAATAATAATAATAATAATAATAATAATAATAATAATAAAAATAATAATAAAAATAAAAATAATAATAATTATAATAATAATAATAATAATAATAATAATAATAATAATAAACCATACAGAAATACAAAAATGAAAAAAACAATCAAAAGTGATAAACAATATACAGTATGTATGTTGTGTTGTCAAAGTAAGAGAAACAATTGAGACCCTGCAATTGTGTGTAAATGAGGCAGAAAGTCAGATGATCAACCTGGGACTTGGTCACATATGGCAGCAGGGTCTACCATTAGACAACACATTATGCTTCCAAGCGGTAGTATCTCTCTGTTTGGTAGCTACCTACTACCTGCAGGTATGCGGTAAGGAACTAACATTCAGCCCACATTATCTGTTTCAGTGTAACACGGGACCTCGTTATGAAGGTTAGTTCCTGTTAGGGGTCAGGGGGGGGGGCGTTCACAACTTAAATGGCTAGACAACTTTATATGGCGGGGAGGGGGGGCAGTTAGATACCGGTTAGGTAGGTTTGGTAGGTAGGTTTGGTTAGGTAGGGTTGGTTTGGATAGATAGGTTCTCTGCATTGTCGTATCGATTTTCTTATTTAGTATCATGCAAATCCCATCTCTAGAAATTTTGGTTTAATTCCATAATATGCTTTGGGTGATAACCGTTTCCTCCACCATTACACACGTTTGGCATCATGCTCCGTGGCTCGCCCCTAACTTTTTCCTTCCCAATTCTCTGTAAGTGAATAACCCCCCCCCCTCCCTCAAAAAATAAATAATAAATAAATAAATAAATAAAAAGAGAAGTAAACATCATTGGTGGATAAATTAATATGGTTATTTTCATGAGATTTGTATATATATTTAATTCTTTTGGCAGGTGACGGAGTCGAAGGTGCAGATGATGGACTCGGCGGGGCAGTGGGAGGATTTGGCCAGCTAGAGGGCGGATTTGGTGGGGCAGAAGGTGGATTTGGCAGAGCAGATGGTAGATTTAGCGAAACAGAAGGCGGATTTGGCGAGGCAGAAGGTGGATTTGGCGGAGCAGAAGGCAGATTTGAAAGCACAACCAGCGGATTTGGCGAAGCAGATGGCGGATTTGGCGGGGTAGAAGGGGGATTTGGCGGGACAGAAGGGGGATTTGGTGGGCTAGAAGGATGGTGTACAGGCGCTGTTAGCGGATCTGGTGGCGCAATTGGCGTATCTGGTGGCGCAGTTGGTGGATCTGGTGGCGCAATTGGCGTATCTGGTGGCGCAGTTGGCGTATCTGGTGGCGCAGTTGGTGGATCTGGTGGCGCAATTGGCGGATCTGGTGGCGCAATTGGCGGATATGGTGACGCAGTTGGCGGATCTGGTGACGCAGTTGGAGGATCTAGTGGCGCAGCTGGCGGATCTGGCGGCGCAGCTGGCGGATTAGCGGATCTGGTGGCGACACATTGCGCAGTTATCTGGTGGCGCAGATCTGGTGGCGCAATTGGATCTGGTGGCGCAATTGGCGGATATGGTGACGCAGTTGGCGGATCTGGTGACGCAGTTGGAGGATCTAGTGGCGCAGCTGGCGGATCTGGCGGCGCAGCTGGCGGATCTGGCGGCGCAGGTGGCGGATGGGCCTGGGCACTAGATCCCATACGTGTGGAGCAGCGCGGAAGAAGTGAGTCCTCTAATCCTACGTAATCGTATATGCAAAACAACAACAACAACCACCACCATCAGTTTGAGCTCCCTTATATACTGCTTACAACCATTAACAGTACCTAGACAACCCTTATATACGACTTAGAACCATTTACAATACCTAAACAACCCTTAGATACTGTTTACAGTCTTTAAAACATATAATTTCATAAGTTTTATAATATACAAATATACACCACTTGCTTAATTAAGATGTTTTTTTTTTCTAGTTTTATATTTTTTCTCGGTTATTTGTATTGCGTCAAGATCATTACGGAAAAAAATATATATTTAGGATATTATTATTCGGTTCGTTATCCATTTTATAAGTTATTTGGTCGAACTGCGTTTGTTTACAATATGTTAAGCAAGGGAATGATACTAGGGAAATTTACTCTCTTTCTCCTTCTCCTCATCTCCCACAGCAAGAGGTCCTATCGTGTGGGAGTTTCTGGTACGCCTATTAATCAACCCCACTTCGAATCCGTCATTGGTTATGTGGGAGAACGAAACCGAGGGAACATTCCGTCTAATGCAACCAAGATTAATCGCACAAATCTGGGGAGGACGAACAGCCAATCCTAATCTGTCATACAACAACTTTGCCAGGGCTATGAGGTGGGTATTTAATAACAACAATCATAATACACTTCCTCCTCCTCCCTCTCCCCCCTCCCCAACAACTAGGCAGTGGAATGAATATTTGTTTTCTTTCTCGTTGTTACAGACACCACTACGAGAAAGGTAATCTTGTAGCCAACCCAGAGAGGCAGCTGGTGTATGGCCTGGGAAGTAAAGCTCTGAAATACCTCCAGCAGCTGCGAGCGAGCCAACACCACATGTGAGTGATATCTACCTGCAGGTCCTCAATCACCCACACGTTACCGTATAATTACTGTGTTATAGTTACACTCCTCTCAAGCAAGTGAACAGTTACAGTTTTAGTCCATGGATTACAGTGTTACATCAAGTTACAGCGAAGTTACAGTTTTGAACTTTAATCAAAAGATACAGTGATACAGTGAAATATAATGGTATAGCTCTAGTATATTCCTCAAATACAGTGATTTAGTGATATATTTTACTCTTCATGTACAGACAAGTATTGTTTGGGGATATGGTTTTCTCCACAAATACAAGAGTACTGTGATAACTCTTCCATTAAATAAGTTAAAAAGTACAAGATGTTACAGCAGTCAGCGATATAATGTTTATTTCAAATAGAGTAACAGTGTTTTTTACTAACTACCTACAAGGTGCAGTTTTATCCTTAGACATGGCGATACAGTGAACTAGTCCTGTTATACTTTACTAATCTAACCTGACCTAATCTAACCTCACTTAATCTTGCCTGACTTTGATTTAACACCTCCTAACCTAACCTGTATAAAAACTATATCAAATTATCATTAAAAATAATCACTTAATATCAATAATAAACAATTGACCTACTTACTGTTATCTATGTTTGTCATTTCATTTCTAATTCTTCCCAGTATTTTATTTTCCTACGAGAACACATTTCAGTACACATAAGACGTAAGTTTCATTTAGGGTTAAGTTAAGTTAAGTTGTTCCAAATACTCTAGTACCTGGCTCTATGTGTTATATTAAGTCGTCCACCGGTTAAATTGGCCACAAAACTATCTTGTTCCAGCCTAACCGTTATAGCGAGTCCAAATCCTATGAGTTCTCAATCCTAGTGGGGTCCTTGTCACAAAGCATCCTAATACTAAGGGGTCACTGTTCTAATGGCAGAATTACTGTAGGTTAGGATGGGATCTTTTTAGTACTGTAACGGCGAGTGATGCTTACCCTGCACCTCAAAGGCTACAGGTCAAACTTAATAGAATTAGTGCGGTTACTCCTTTAAATTACGACTTTTTTCTCGTTTTCTTTTAATATAATTCCTCACAGATTCTTTCAGTGAAGACCATTTTAGTGCAAGTCATACAATGTTAAGGAAAAACAACGAACAGAGTAGACAAATTATATAATCTTTCAGCCGATGCTAACGTAATAAAAACTGTCGCAATTTAACTTAGTCACACAAATAACCACAGACCAATCTCAAATACATACAGACACAAACCACTGCAGACCACCATTCGGATGAGCGCTCCTGTTCTTGGTTCTTTCTCAACACTGCACGACACTCAAAGAATGTTTTAATTTTACTAAAGTTAAAGTCAAACCTCGTACCTGCTCCTCAGAATATAGTGTCTTTATTGTTATTATGTGTAGGCGACTTTTGTTTCTTTATTCACTAACAATTATTGAGTTGGTAATTTCCAGCGTACAAATAATTTTCTATGGAACGTTATAATGACCACAAATTAAAGGTAATGTCACAATAATAAAATGTTTAGGTATATTCATGTGATCTTTTCTTTAATCAAATCGTAATGACGTAATGATCCAGCAGCAGTCTCTTATTCACGTTGAATATCTTTGTGTATTTTTTAGTTATTGCAACTGCCAAATTTCCGTCACATTGTCTGATCTGCCAACCAAATGCTTTTAAAAATCTCTTATTAATTATTATGAAACATTAAAATACTACTAATCTTATTCACATAAAATTGTTCGGAACCTCACCCACTCACACACTTCTACAGCATATTAATTAATTTATTATACACTCATTCACTTGCTTCTACCACCTCATTGTAACTTATTTTATTGTAATTTTAATATTAATGTCAGGGGCGGGTCCAGGGGGTCCTGGAGGTCCGGACCTCCTCATTTTCATCAGAAAATTCCAATACTTTTTTCTTCAATGCAGTATTGTACGCAGGCGTTTTTGAATAGTAAAAAGTGGTTACTATTGACCTCAGAATATCTTCTAATATCAAGTGCACCTGGCTTCAAAATGCCCATGGTATTAGTTAGATTTCAAAAGCTTTTCTGAGGGAGGGGGTAGGGCGCCCCCTCAACCCCCCAGCTCCCTCTGCTCGCCATGTTCCCCCATTCATAACTTCTTGGACACCCCCTTTTGAAATTCCTGGATCTGCCCCTGAAGAAGTTTTTGCTTTCTCCATTTTTCTCAATCAATAGTTTTATTTGATCCATGTCTGAGCATCTCCAGGACTTGTCAGGACGAGTCTGTGTAAATAACTGGCTCACCAACGTCTCAACAATATTATTTTATTTCGTAGACTTAATTAATGCCAAATTTAAGATATTTCCCAGAAGGCTAAATGTTCCTCTCTATCCTAAAATTTACATAAACTTATCAGAAAATTGTAAATGGCGGCAGGCGCCCTTCTGTACACACGTTTATAACACACATTCAATATTCCATAGTTATGTTTATAACGTATTAGTTATGTTAAACTGTGTATTAGATTCTATATTTCAGGTTTCTACACCCTTAATGCATGAGTCATGAAGTCAAGCATGAATTACGCATGCTTCCCAGTTGGGCGCTGTAAACGCTTTTACGCTTCACCTTGCACAGGATGACAAGGGGGTGCCCAATAAACTAGCCCCCTTGCGGGGCAAATTCTAAAAAAATATATGTATTTCTTATTAAAAGTCTTCAAAATATTGCATTGTGCAAAACATCAAATTTTGTGATAACTGTTAATATGTGATTTGATAATTTTGTCAATAAGCGATACCAAACATCTTTATGCATTATTTATGTTAAAATTGTATAATTATTTTCACTTATACAACTAATTACTTTTACTACTGTGAAAAATAATAATAACAAATATAATTATCACGTAAATAGATTTTTTTTACCCTAACTTGTGGATTATTTCATCTCAAAACTACAGGATTAATATGACTTAGGGAGGAGTATTGGCAGTTGATACATGGTAATGCATTGGGAAAATAACACACGCACCACCACCCACACACACACACACACACACTCACTAACACACACACAGGACTACACATCACTACAAGGCACCCTGGACAGGCTACAGGCATGGACTACGGAGAACAAGGTCACCATCAACCACACCAAAACCGTAGTCATGCACATCAATACCGCCACCACTCCGGTGCAAGCTCCAGCAGTCACAGTGGGTGCCCATCCACTCCAGTTAGTGCAGTCTGCCAAACTCTTGGGTGTTACCATAGACCACAAACTGGACTGGAAGGCCCATGTAAACAACACAATCAAGGCAGCCTCGTACCGACTCTACATGCTACGACGACTCCGGTCACTTGGGGCACCCACGCCAGAGCTGAGGACTATCTACAACGCATATATTCTCCCCAAATTAACGTATGCGTCACCAGCCTGGTCGTCTTCTCTCAACAACGTCAGCTAGAGAAGGTACAGAAGCGGGCCTGCAGAATCATGCTTGGCGCAGACTACTCCGGCTACAACAACGCTCTCTCCACCCTGGAAATGCCATCCCTCAGTGACCTCCACCACCACGCACTAGCAGGATTTGGCAGTGGGCTACTGCACCCTCCTCGTCATCGCCACCTACTGCCACCGGCAGTCCCCCGCCCACCTCGCTCAGTCCGCCACTACAACAAAATTCAGCCCATAAGAGCCCGCACTGATAGATATAAGAATAGTATCATCCCATCTATTGTTAAAATAATAAACAACTCCTGATCTATGTACTGTACAGCCCTGTAAATGTATTGAATATATATTATTATGTCTAAATCACATGTAAGCTTGTATATTTTCAGCCACCGGCTGCAACTCTATTAATACTGTAAACCGTTTATTATTATATTATCATTATTACACACACACCAACACACACACTACTACTTCTGTTTCTGTAGCGCAGTAATACATTATAACCTCAACAACACATACAGTACATCGCATTTCTCTTTAATTTTGGTTTAGTGATGACGGTTGTACTGACGAACTTGGAAGAACAAGTTTAAAGTGTTAACCTTGGTTGTTGAAGCGGAGTGATACATCGTGTGTATCTTCACAACATTCCACATACCTCTCTTAGGGATGAGTATGTGCCGTATACTGTACAAGTATTAATATTAGCCTGATCAACTCAGGCCTGGGTTCTGGTAGGCCATGCCAACAAAACCGTCAAAGCGAGTAACACCTCAGATGGTGGTACTTTTTTTTTTACTTTTTCTTTGCTGGTGATCGGCTCATTGGCCGGTCGTTCACGTCTGTTTCACACTGTTAGCAAGTACCGCGCCAGTGTTGGTCAAGTACGGTCTCGATTGCCGTCACAACATTGTGCAGATTGTTCCAAGAGTTTACAATTCTCACCTAGAAAAAGTTTGCCCTAACAATTTTACGAAGTGTGGATTCCTCAACCCTGAGCTGTGAGGCGGGCGTCTGCCAGCTCCAAGTATGAACACTCGACTGAGTAATGCCCTCCAAGATGTTTGCGGTATTCACAATCTAGTTAATTCAACGAATGTAATTTTAATATAAATATTCTTATGCTAAATATTAACAGAAACAATAAACTTACCTGTAAAAATGCGTATTAAACAGTGGGACTACAGTACTGTGTGCACTGTTGTGTTGGATGCTTGGAGTGACGGAGGGTGACTGCAGTGCCCAAAGATTATACTAAGACGGGATATCGTCTACGTTTGTCCAATGAGGGTTAAAGAATGAGAAGAAGGTACGAATTTAACCCCGGGTAAACCCCCCACCTAGAGCGTGAGAAAGGTACTAAATTAGAAAACGGCTCAGGAGTAGATGGTTTAAAACCCCTGACCCTCTGCCTCGCCTATACCCCTATACTGCCTTCAGTATGAGCAAATTCTCTAATAATACCCATTTCTGGCGTAAATCGTGATCCTACACCCTTCTAAAAAAGCTAACTCACTGGGGCTGCCTCCCCACCAGTCTAATTGCTATGGAACTATTTCTCGACCACGTAATTTACTAAACTAAACTAAACCTAACCTTGTCCGAGTGGTAGGTAGGGTTAGGCCCTAACCTTACCTCACATGAATGGTGCATAAGATAATAATAATGTGGTTCAAAACGCAACAATGCCGTTTATTTTCCTCATTACACTAACATCTGTTGCTCCTTTGGGAAGACTGAATGTTGAAGGGGATCATATATCGAAATATTTATACATTCAAATATTTCACCCTACAAACATTTTATTCATGGATAACATATCTTTAGTTCTTGTTTACTAAAAACAAAATATAATTTCTATATTTAACAATAAAGGTTTTCTCAGGGATATGCCGTAAAAGATAAACGATGGCGCTTCTATCTGTTGCGCGAGACGATCACTAAAATGTTCGAGTAATCAAACGCGAAATACAGCCTTCAAACCCTCATTGCCTTCATCCAAAAACTATATACGAAAGATAGGAAAGCGGAACGAAATGTTGTGCTCATTGGATCCTAAAAAGTGACTACTACACGTACACATAAAGTCTGTCCATAAAAAAAGACAAACTAATATGAATTAAACTGTTTAGTATACAATGAGACCGCAGGCGGGGTGGAGTTAGGAAGACGTCTCTCTCTTTCTCTCAACACATTGTACAAAACACAAATAAATCAAACCAAGAAAATGAAAATAAAACACCAGGCTTAAATCACAGTTCATTGACATACTATTGTTACAATGAGAGCGAGCATAATAAAATCACTTCAAAATGCCACTGAAATTAAAGATAAAAAAAAACACTTAAAAATTAAACAAATACACAGAAATATTGCACATTTATAAAATTACATAAAAAAATGACTTAAATTTATAATCAGTTGTCATATATATATTATTTTCCACCGTTATTAAACAGTGACACGTCTGGGTTTAGGTAGACAGGAATAAACTTAATTTGTATCGTCACATCATGTAATAAATAACATCATTGAATTACCAAAATAAGAAAAGAACAAATAACGGAGACTTGGCATTTTTTGGCACCTAATAATATTCTGGGTGTCTCGTTGCATGTCATACACTGTACAGTAAATCGAATTCATTCATGTTTGAACTCATGTTAATTACCCATGACTAGTGTGTTGTGAACCTTGAATACCTACCTAAGGATCCTAGTATAGTTGTAGAAGTGTAGTAATTACAGTATAACATCATCGAATTGTGTTTAATTTTATTGGGAATTTTTTCGTTGTCTTTTAATTCCCTGATTATATTTGCTTTGTTATTTTTCTAAGTTGTTATTTAGTTTCTTTGTTTTAAAAGTTCTTCACAATTTCTTTTTATTGTTAATGTTTTCTTTGGTTGGGAAGGTTTCTTGTTCTTTCCCCGTTTTCTATCTATAAACTGGTTCCCACATTGGTTTTAAAAGGTATTCTCGTATTCTTTAAAACTCAAGGTATAACTATGAGAAACTGGGTGACTGTTGTGATGTGTACAATGTAATTCATAGCTGAATAATGGCTCCTTCAGTATCTCTAAGAAGAAAAGTAAATGTTTCCTTTTAATGATTTTATGTATCAAAGAGTTTATGTTATATTTTCATGGCTGCATACTTGAAGTAAAATGTGATCACTTGATTATTTCACCTGAAGATTAAACACCTTTGCATTACCTGGGGGGTTAGGTTAGATTAAGTTAGGTGTTCTAATCTTGAGGTGATCCGTAAAATTATATCATTGTCTTATTATTAAAGGTGATTAGCGTTAAATAATTTTAGAGCAACAACTTTATACCCCATGGAAATTTCTATATTATTTCTGTATATAATAAAGAGGATAAGAGTGTGTTAGTAACTCACCCAAGCTCGTAGTAGTCCCCACTCCAAATATTGCAGCTGGACATATGACAACGCCTCTCAGTCTCACTTTTCCTACTGTGCAAGAATTACGGCCGGAGTGACGTCAAAAGTACACAGAGACTCTACTGAAATTCGAAATCTTCAGTTTATTCCTTTTTGAGTAGAAATTAATGAGTAATATTTTTTTCTTTAAGAATCAGAGTTCTAGATCTTACGAGGGAAGGAAGACGGTAAGATATATGCTATCCAACTCTTGGTTAAGATTCATAAATAAGATGAATTTTGCTCGTAAGATGCAAAAAGGAATTTATATTGCTTACTGAAACAAAAGACAAAAATTAGATTCTTAATAAGAATATAATGTTACTCAGGGTAAGGCATGCATTCATTATATACCTTGATAATGAATACAGATGACGCTCGAAAAATTATTAATTTTTATCTAAAGTAAAAGACCCGAACTTGACTTGAGGTGGATGCTAAGGAGGAAATATTGTTAGGTTTGGTTAAGTTTACATTAAGTTTAGTTAGTTCATGTCGCCGGTAGAATAAACGGCTTTTCAATCAACATCCATCATCTGATACCACCGAGGAATACCAACTACCGCCAGAGCTAAGGTGGAATGTTGTGTCTTTTATAGAATTCTAATACATTCTAGTGGAGTATATACTTGTGTTGATAAAGTAAGACGATTAACTATATGTCAGATTCAATTCCACTTAATTTAGTATATCCCTAACTTGTGGAGCATTTACACGTCAAGTTCAGAACGTCACTTGTAATATAAATAATATACTCCTTATTATATAAAGGTGGTGTACAAAAATCCTGTTACACATCAAAATTTTATAAATAAGTAAACCTATTATAAAATGTACAGTAATAAGTCAACCCTCAAATAGAATGAATTTGTTAAATCTCTCTGCTAAGTTTTCTGTGATAGACGACTCACTGGTAAACATTTTCTTTCTTACTAATTATCAAAACAAGGAAGTGATAACATAACTGTAGCTGCTTCACAGGGGTTGGGTAATAGAAATGAGAGAAGAGAAATACTAATTGACTTATGTAAGGAAAACAAGATGATAAATACAAATACATAACTTGAACAACACCCTCGGCATCACTATACAGTACACGGGTCTCACCCCAGGATGTATAAACAACACAGCCAGGAATCAAATAGATTACATTTTAATTCAGGAAAGATTCAGTAATTCAATAACACGAACCAAGACTTATCCAGGGGCAGATTGTGGGTCAGATTACGTCCCAGTAAAGAGTTTAGTGAGGCTAAACTGTGAACAAAATCAAATAGGTTTAAGGTGAACCCATGACAGAGGCAGGGATAGAATATGAAATGGAAACCGAATATAGAATGTCAGTATTGCTTGAGGGAAACTTTGATGAACAAGAACAAGGGCAACAATTTAATAATTATAAAGAAGTAATGTTAGAGACTGGGGAAAACTTATAGGACATAGGAGGAACGAGGCTAAAGGTGAGTGGATGACAAATGAAATTTTAAAGCAAAAAGATAGACGAAGAAATATGAGAAAACGAAGTGAGACTTACATAAAAATTTGGGAAAAAGGCTGATGAAAGACTTTACCTGGTTTAAAGGACTATTGTATGGGTCAGATCAGTGGATACTTTCAGGAGACACCAAAAAGAGGTTTGAGGGCTTTGAAATGTGAAGTTATAGGAAAATGCTAAGAATAAGCTACACTGACGGGAAAACAAATGAAGAAGTACTAAGATTAGCAAAAACTTCAAAAGAAATACTTTAAATGTACAGAAAAAAGAAAAATGGGATACTTTGGCAACATAATTAGGGATGAGGGAGGTAATAACAGAAATATTAATGTGACAAAGTTGAGGGTAGGAGGGCCAGAGGCAGGCAGAGACTAGAATGGATGAATGAAATTAAAAACTGTGTCCTCAGAGAGATACAAAACCACAGAGGACATGAGGGCGGTACACTGATTGATTAAGCTGCTTCAGTAGTTGAAATATACAATGCATAATGATGAATGATTTACATGTTGATGGGATGAACTTACAATAATTACATCATGGGAATGTTTACACTCACGACGTCACGATGACAACACAATAACTAGTACCAGTTCGTGTTCACTTATCACTTCCTGCACTGAATTATTCTTCAAACTTGATTTCAATATTAAACAATATCCAAACACTCTTGATACGTTTAGATGTTTAGTTATTCTTCTTTGTAATTTTTTTCTCCACATTCGAATGGTTTTGTTTGCGGAGTGAACTGACGTGACTTTCTGAAGCATTACTTTCACTGTCGAAGATAATGCATCTGTATAACCAATGACAATGGTGTACACACACAAACACACACACAATATATCAAAAGTACCAAAGACAGACGCCACTAAGATTTTGGGCACTTAAAAGAATTTGCAGAACAGTTCATTAGGTTCTTCGATAAGGCATGGCCAAGTTATTGTAGAACATCTAGGAACATTTCAACAAGATACATGTTTTCAGTAATGTATTATCATAAGTAGCACTAACTTGCTTGGTCCTCCGGTGTGTGTGTGTGTGTAGGTCTTCAGCTGACGTCTATTTCCCCTCAGTTAACGCGTTGATTCTTCATCTTGTGCTTAAGGTGTTAGTTCAGGTCGCATCAGTTTCTTTAGCTTCGGATTCAGTTCTTCACCACACACACACACATACACACACACACACACACACACACATACACACACACCTGCTTCATCTCATGAATCAACACGACCATTCAGGACACAAAGGCGTCTGGTGTATGACCTTACAAATGGAGTCAAATCAACTTGCCTCAGATCAGTTTATGTCAGATCAACTCGCGTCAGATCAACTTGCGTCAGATCAACTCGCGTCTGGTTCTTCAGTTTAATCACCTTTCACTACGATAACTTAAGGAAGGCATCAACATTCCTGGTTCTTCAACATAGTAAGGAACTTGAGAGCCTCCTGGCCACACCCGTACACCAACTGACGCTCGGATACCTTCGTCAGGTATTTGGTAGAATAGTGGTACCTGTGGCAGAGAGGAGAGATGCTATACCATGGAGGGCGAGAGTTACACACACAACTTTTTCTCCTGATGCTGGTGTTTGTGTCTTGTCTTATGATTGAAAGTTTGATTCAGTAAATAAAACATGAACTTGCGTACCAAAAAAATTAAACTTAATCTACTCTATCCTCTGTATTTTTCATATGGCGATGAAATAGCCTAATTAAAACAGCTAAACCTAATTCATCATTAGATTTTGTTGTTTTTAGGTTTATTCATAAGGACTCCCATGACGTAACACTGGATCATCCTAATCTAACCTAACCTGAACAAACATTATTATTTTATGAAGTACTGTGTCTCGAAAACCATTAATATAGACCATAAGTGACACAGTGTTTTAGTAACATGACTTGTTAGTATAACAAGTCTACCTTTGAAGAAATATTTCAGTCATAGAGAATCCCCTTATTAAAATTTGCCATCTAAAATTTGTCTCTGTATATTTTCGTGTTTATGAGATAACACGTCCAAGTTTAAGAAAAAACACAACAATAATAAATAGATGTTTGGTAAGGTTGAGGAAAGTAATAAAAAAAAAATATATATATATATATTTATATATTTGTCTGACCTTAAGGTATTGGTAGCCTTATGATAACTGAGGTTGTGGAGAGGAGAACACACACACACACACGCATAAAGTAAAGAAAACTGCCAGCTAGCATATCATATAAAAAAAATAGATAACTCACCTAAGAGCTCGAGCGAAATTATTGTAAGTCAGTTCAGGTTTCCCGGATCGCGTCCCCCATAACCGAGCAACCACCTGCGGCTGCACCAACCTAAAGGTGGCCGCAGCCTCGTCCTCCCACCGGATTACTGTGGGGTTGGTTGTCTCGTCAACCAAGAGTCGCATCAGAAACTCCCATGACTTTGGTCCTCGGTCTGTAACGATAGATTCATAAATACTACATAAAATTACCAAAGAAAATTCACATTGATTAAGCATGTTCAAAGACAGTGCTGGTATATAATGACACAGAACAAAATACTATTAACCAACAAAAAAAACACAATGACTCATCTTTGCATGAACTTGTATATTACCATCAGTATATGCAAGTCTTTATGAAGAGAGTCATATAGGATTCATATATATGGAGATATAATACACTCTCGAACAATAGGCAAACACTTACCACGTTTTCTTTTGGTTGAGATCTTCTTAAGAGATTCGTGGGAAACTTTTTCGTCTGATGAATTCTCGGCCTCGATGTGTGTTCTCTCAACCTGGTCATGTGTTCTCTCAACCTGGTCGTATGTTCTCTCAACCCGGTCGTGTGTTCTCTGTATCTCGACGTGTGTTCTCTGTACCTGGTCGTGTGTTCTCTGTATCTCGACGTGTGTTATTTCTGTCAGGACAAGAGGACAGTACAAACTTTTAATCCTATGAATTGAGGGAAGTTCCTAAGCTGTCTAAAACATACCAAAATGTAATCAACTTATCTAAACTTTATTTCTATAATAGATCTTGAACTTTTCTGACCTTAAAATTGAATCGAAATAAAATAAACTTATCCCAATTAACTTCAAGTATGTTGATGCGTCATATGCTTGTAATGTATTCAAGAACAACAGAAGTTCTGGTACAGTTACAAGTATGGGGCATGATGACGTGCAGATGCAAGAATTAATACAACAAAGGTTTACTTGTAGTCACAGGTTGAGGCACAGGTATGATTACAGTAACAGTTAAAAGAACCTCTGACTTCAGCATCACTAACTACACCTCCCTTATCTTAATAAACCCCAATAAATCCAGAGAGAGAGAGAGAGAGAGAGACTCACTTGCTTTCAGCCGAAGGTCCATCGCCTTCTCCTCTCCCTCCTCCGCCAGGTCAATCACGAGGGGCCCATCTCCCGGGGAGTGAACATCGAGGGAGTAAGGATCCTGGTGGGCGTGAGGCGGCTGTCTCTCATATTGAAAGGGTTCGTTAGGAACATAGTATGAACCGTCTCCTTTTGTCGACCAGGGGTTGGAAACAATTTGTTTTTCGTAGGGTCCTACCGTCGACAACCTTTTCAGCGGTGGCAACTCATAGTACCCTACCAGGGAAGGAGGAGGATGAGGAAGAGGGGGAGTTATGGATAAGGTTTTCTTCAGGGGTTGCTGGTAACATCTTGCAGAAGGAAGGTTTCCTGTAGATGGCTTCTGCAGTGGTGGAAGGTCGTAGAACCCTACCGGAGGAGAGGGAGTCCCCGCAAACTTCTTTGGAGGTGACAAGACGTAATAGGTATCTGGAGGAGAGAGAGGTCCTATTGATGACCTTTTTTGTGGTAGCACGTCATGGTACGCTGCCGGAGGAGTGGAGCTCTGATAGGTCATGGGCGACAGGGTTATGTAGGACTTGGGCGCGGGATTCTCGTAGACCCTGGGTGAAGAGTTCTCGTAGGACCTTGGAGAATGTTCGCTTAGTGACCCGGACGATGAAAAGTCTTGGTATGGTGATCTTAAGGACATTTGATCTTGGTATAGTGATTTTGAAGAGATTTGGTCTTGGTATGGTGATCTTGAGGACATTTGGTCGTGGTATGGTGATTTTGAAGAGATTTGGCCTTGGTATGGTGATCTTGAGGACATTTGATCTTGGTATGGTGATCTTGAGGACATTTGATCTTGGTATGGTGATCTAGGGGCCATAATGATGTCATGGTCTTGGCATGGTGACCCGCATGACATCCTGTCTTGGTATGGTGACTCACGTTGAACTCTATCATGGTATGGTGATCCAGATAACATCCTGTCTTGGTATGGTGACACAGTTGTCATATTGTCTTGGTATGGTAATTCATGTGGCATCCTATATTGGTATGGTGATCTAGGTGGTTTATTGTCTTGGTATGGTGATCCGGGTGGCATCCTGTCTTGGTATGGTGACACAGTTATCAAATTGTCTTGGTATGGTAACTCACATGGCATCCTATATTGGTATGGTGATCCGGGTGGTTTAATGTCTTGGTATGGTGATGTGGGTGGCGTCTTATCTTGGTATGGTGATCCAGGTGACATCTTCTCTCGACATGGTGATCCGGGTGACATCTTCTCTAGACATGGTGACTTAGCGACCATCTCGTCATGGTGTGATGACAAGGAGACGCGAATCTTCCGTTTTCTCAAGGGCCACTGCTCGGGGTCCATGGAAGACGTCATAACCGGCTTCTCAGTAACGTTGTTTTATACTGTGGATGAAACGGAAGAAAAATTACCAAACCATGCGGGCCATTTTTTACATAATTTATCAGAAAAAAGAAACAAAATAGTCAAATGACGTTACAAATGACATTTCAAACAAATATTTCCTTAATGTCAGCAATTCAAAGTGATTGCGTAGTTAACGATGCAAATTAAACTAGACACAACAATGAATAAGAAGTCACAGTCAGCCATACAACATATAAATATGGAATTCTTACCAAGAGGAACGTATAGGTAGATTACGAAGCGGCCCAGGTTCACTATTTGTACTTTGTGAGAGGTCCAAGAACCCCTGAAACAATAATAATTATATAAATACATCGTGCTTATATTTACTTCCTTTAAAATAATGGAATGTGTGTTAGCAGTTTTATTCGTGTGTTAACAGATAACAAGCGTAAAGTGATTGAGAAGTTAAGCTTAGTCTACCCTTAAAATTATTTATATTCATTTTCTTAGGTAAAAGAAAATAGATACCACAGAAAAAGGACAAATTAAGTATTCTAAACGAGACATTAATAATAATAATAATAATAATAATAATAATAATAATAATAATAATGTTATGCCGAGGCATAATTTGGTACTATATTGTTTGTAAACTAGTTGTTTTGATTATTTTCTATTCGAAACAACAGTAGGTAGTAAGCAGGGAGGTACTGCCGCCTGGGAAGATATTGGAAGCATAATGTGTTGTCTAATGGTAGACCCTGCTGCCATAAGGCATCACGAAAATTGTGACCAAGTCCCAGGTTGGTGATCTGACTTTCTGCCTCATTTACACACAATTGCAGGGTCTCAATTGTTTCTCACTCTTGATCTTTTTTGTATTTATTATTATTATTATTATCATTATTATTACAGTGTTGTTACTAATATTACCATTATTATTTTATGATTCTATTTTAGTCCAGCCACCTTCATTCTCGATTGCTTGCTGCATGCAGCCTGTTGGGACCGGAGGAGACGTGATTGTGTATCAGTTGCGGCTTCCGCTTCAGTGACGTCACCCACATGGCTCTGACCTATATATACTGCTAATGAATATGATGTATTTCTTTGTGTATGAACCTCTGTCCTGCATGGCAGTGAACAGTGACATTACCCACATGACTCTGACCTATATATACTGTTAATGAATATGATGCATTTCTTTGTGTATGAACCTCTGTCCTGCGTAGCAGTGAGAAGTGATACCACCCTCAGTGTCAAGGCCTGACTGAATTACTCAGAATAGGCAAACTAAGTTTGTCAACAAATTTGTTAAACTAAAAAAGCACCTCCCATTCACGGTGTGTTTGCTCCTGTAGCTTCACCCTGCTTCTCTCTTCAGCTGGCTCCCACACGTTCACAATATTGGCCCAAATGTTTTCTATAGGGTTCATGTCACAACCTCTACTTGGCCAGTCTAAGACTTGCAAATTTCTTTGTTCCGCAAACCACCGCGTTACAATCCGTGCGGTATGGATAGTACACCTATCGTGCAGGAAAATGATGTTTTCGGGAAACGGGAAAACATAGGCACGCACCGAGGGAAGCATAACCTCTTCGAGTATTTCTAAATACTGTTCAGCTGTTAAATCTTCCTGCTTTGTCAGTCAGCTCTCCAACTCCGTGCAGATATATCCATCCCCAAACATTGCAAGTCACATGGCCTCTCCTAGCTTCTTCATAAATATGTTGTCTAGCATATCGGGTGTTGTTCCTCCTCCAACCTTCCGTGAGAGGTAGATGAGACAGTTTTTTCGTCAGTGAATATTACTCTTCCCCAGAAATCTAGGCCTTCTTCAGCATACCGTCGAGCAAACTGTAACCTGCCCTCGCGATCATTTAACCGTAATAATAATAATAATAATAATAATAATAATAATAATAATAATAATAATAATAATAATAATAATAACAATAATAATAATAATCCTTCTTTTTCACATGCAGATCAAAAGCAAAAGTAACAAAGGTAGATTGACTCGTTAACAAACATCAAGTACACCGTACCCATGACGACAGAATACATAATGCAGCGATCTGGTTGGATCCTTTAAACCTTACCACTTTATTTATCTTCTGTTTTACTTTTATCTTCATACAAACTTTACTTCCTTTCCTAACTCAAGGCATCGAGATCAAGATAAGGTTAAGAAAGAAAAAGTGACTGACATTAGGTGTAAGAAGGTCATGAAGTAGAGGTGAAGGGAGAGAGGTAGGAGTAGGTGAAGGATTTTATGGTCAACAGGTAGTAAAAAATATAATGTATATATTTTATTACTCATTTACACGCAGCTGGCAGTAACACAGTTATCTCTCAGGATTTCATATGTTACCTCCCGATGCTGTACCTGCTTTCTCTTGTACCTAACACTGTACAATAAAGTTCATAACAAATGTAACAAAATCGAATGGCTACTGAGGTGGAGAGTGGTGAAATGATACAAAAAAAACGATATATGTAACCCAGGTAGAGAAGGTCGTATTATACCTATGAAGGAAGGGACAGCGCATTCTTATCTTCCTTAATTCCCTGGCACTTTGTTGACACTGTACGTAGATGACTCTGTGTTGAGAAGCATTATATCTATTGAGTTTGTGAAGGAGGTTTTTGCCTTGATCAGAGATGGTGTACAACCTTGTTTGGAATGTGGCTTGTATTGAACTGGATAACTGAATGGTGGTGGTGGTGGTGGTGGTGGTAGTGGTGGTGGTGGTGGTAGTGGTGGTGATGGTGGTGTTGGTGGTGGTGTTGGTGGTGGTGTGGTGGTGGTGGTGGTGGTAGTGGTGGTGTGGTGGTGGTGGTGGTGGTGGTGTGGTGGTGTAGTGGTGGTGGTGGTAATGAAAATGTTGACGGGGATGATGATGATGATGATGATGATGATGATGATGACGATGGTTGTGGAAACTATATATTACGTGGAATATCAGAACATATGGAAGACATTGAACACGGTATTGTAGTGTGTTGAACCAGCCTGTTCCGTCCCATTCTCTCTCCCTCCACCCTCCCTTCCCCACCCCACCAACCTCTTCCTTCCCCCACCCCACATCCTCCCTCCCCACTTCCCAACACAAAAATATCCTCCCATCACACCCTTTCCATAAGCCCCTGCCTCCCATTACACCCCTCCACAGCCCCCTCCATAGCCCTCCCTCCCACATCCCCCCCTCCCCACCACACCCTCCACAACCCTCCCTCCCACATCACCCCCTCCCACCACATCCCTCCACAGCCCTCCCTCCCACATCCCTCCCACCACACCCCTCCACAGCCCTCCTCCCCTCCCACATCCCCCTCCCCACCACACCCCCACCATAGCCCACATCCCCCTCCCACCACACCCCATCCCTCCCTCCCACATCCCCTCCCACCACACCCTCCACAGCCCTCCCTCCCACATCCCCTCCCACCACACCTCCATAGCCCTCCCTCCCACATCCCCACACCCCCTCCTCCCCCCTCCACCACACCCCTCCACAGCCCCTCCCCTCCACATCCCCCCCCTCCCCACCCACACCCCTCCACAGCCCTCCCTCCCACATCCCCCTCCCACACCACAGCCCTCCCTCCCACCACACCCCTCCACAGCCCTCCCTCCCATCACACCCCATCCACAAAAGCCGTTCCGGGCCTCACAGTGTTCTTGCCAAGTAGGAAAAATTTCCCCTCCATTACGACTGAAAAACCCGTCTTGATCCAGGTTGATTCTTGCCAATTTCTTTCTATCTATCTATCTATCTATCTATCTATCTAGCTATCTATCTATCATCCTCATCATGATCACCATCATCATCATCATCACCATCATTATCATCATCACCATCATCATCATCATCATCACACTAAAGTCAGTCAGATTACGTCGACGACCTACATCAATAATTTTCCTGTTCCACTCCTACACAAAACACCAAGTAAATGACGCGACTTAACTTGAACTAACCCTTATGAAACTCAGAACAAATTCTCTCACAAATTCTCTTCAATAAATCTAAAACAAATTCTCTAAAAAATTCTCCCCAAAAGTTCTTAAACAAATTCTCAACGCCGTCACAAAAAGGTAACACGGATAGCCGGGCTGATGCGACCTTGAAGCACCAGTACCTTGGGGAACTCCTGCTTACTGTTAGTAGTGCATAATAAATTATCTTGGTATCCGGGTTCAGAGAGAGACAGAGAGAGAGAGAGATACCTACATAGAATGACTGATGAAGCAAGAGAATGAGAGAGACAGAGAGAGAGACGTTCCCTTTCTCAATTATTAATATCTCACACGTACAAAAGAAGGATGAAACATTAAATTAATAAAGTTCAAATAAAAAGCAAGAACTACGCTCACTATCTCTCTCTCTCTCTCTCTCTCTCTCTCTTTCTCTTATCCCCACGCATACCTACAATACGTCACATCCGCTTTATGGCGTAACTATCTTCAGAGGATCGTAAGTTAGTAAGAATTTTCCTACAATGAACGAACTCTTACGTCACACAGCCAAAAAATATGATGATTTAAAATGGCCTGGGGTATGGTAGTGAACTAACCTAACTTGGGAATGTAGGTGTTATTATATGGAGTAAAAATATATATTAAAGTTCAGGTATTTTTGTCAATATTTTAAGATTGTGTTAGTTGGGTATAAGGTGCTGTTAATAAGTTAAGTAATTAGTTAAATGATAGATAGTTAAGTGAGATAATTGTTGTGATAATGGAGTGAATTTGTTATGTGTTTAGAGTTAGTTGAGTTAGTTAAGTGTTTAAAGTTAGTTCAGTTAGTTAAGTGTGTTAGTTAAGTGAATTAGTTAAGTGTGTTAGTTAAGTGAATTAGTTAAGTGTGTTAGTTAAGTGAATTAGTTAAGTGTGTTAGTTAAGTGAATTAGTTAAGTGTGTTAGTTAAGTGTGTTAGTTAAGTGAATTTGTTAAGTGTGTTAGTTAAGTGAATTAGTTAAGTGTGTTAGTTAAGTGAATTAGTTAAGTGTGTTAGTTAAGTGAATTCGTTAAGTCTGTTAGTTAAGTGAATTAGTTAAGTGTGTTAGTTAAGTGTGTTGGATAAGTACGAGTCTTATTCTCTTAAGGGAAAATTTCTACATAAGAACCTTTGACAATCACCAAGTTGCTTCTTTCCTCTCCCCCCTGCAACCCTCAGTGGGGGGGAGGGGTGATGAGGAGAGGGGGTGAAGGGGTGGTGGTGAGGAGGGGGTGAAGGGGAGGGGTGATGAGGATGAGGGGACGGTGGAGGGGAGGGGTGATGAGGGAGGGTGAAGGGGAGGAGGATGAGGAGGAGGGGGATGAGGAGGAGGGGGAGGGTGGTGGAGGAGGGGGGGTGAAGGGGAGGTGATGAGGATGAGGGGCGGTGGGAGGAGGGGTGGATGAGGAGGGGGTGAAGGAGGAGGATGAGGAGGAGGGGCGGTGGAGGAGGGGTGAGAGGAGGAGGGGTGAAGGGGAGGAGTGATGAGGAGGAGGGGGTTGAAGGGGAGGGGTGATGAGGATGAGGGGGCGGTGGAGGGGTGATGAGGAGGAGGGGGTGAAGGGGAGGGGTGATGAGAGAGAAGGGGGTGAAAGAGGGGAGAGGTGATGAGGGGGGAAAAACATATGTGCCATCTATTGTCGGAAAGTTTGTGTGTGTGTGTGTGTGTGTGTGTGTACTTACAGCGACTCCCACTTCCCTTACACACACACACACACACCTGGTTTTCCTCCCTAAATGCCACACAACGTAAACACCTAGAAAAAGTGCAAAAGAGGGCATGCAAGATTATTCTCTCCCCTTCCTACTCCACATATCAAGAAGCGCTCAACACACTGACCCTCTCGGCCCTCACTGACCATCACCACGACCTCATCTGCAAATTTGGTAGGAAGCTTCTGCACCATCCTCGACACCGGCTCCTACTACCACCTGAGATCCCCAGCCCGAGAATTGCTGTTCGACACCACAACCGCATCCAGCCCATACGTGCACGAACTGATCGCTATAAGAACAGCCCAGTCCCAACCATTGTAAAAATTATCAATAACTTGTAATAAACCAGTGTATTCACTCCCAGTAAATACTACTTCTTGCACTGTCACTATGTTGAAATGCACTGTAGTTTGAGCTTTTCCCCATCTAGTTATTATAAATCTTATTTATATCACTTATGTTACTTGTATATTATTTGTAATTCGAAAGCCATTCCCCAAATATGTAAATGTATATTTTCAGCCTTCTGGCTGCCAAGCTCTTTCAATAAACCGTCAATTATTATTATTATTTATTACACACACACACACGTAACCAAACTATAACGCTACTGTAACTCACTATAACTGTTGTATCACTGCTGTAACCTTCTGTATCATCACAGTAATTCGGTGTAACTTGCCGTAAAAAAAACCTGTAACTTGTTGTAATGCTGATGTAACTTGCTGTAACGCTCCTGTAGCTTTCTGTAACGCTGTTATAAGTTGCTGTAGGGCCGGTATAATTTGCTGTAACGCTCCTGTAACTTGCTGTAACGCTCCTGTAACTTGATGTAACGCTCCAGTGGCTTGCTGTAACACTGGTATAACTTGCTGCAACGCTCCTGTAACTTGCTGTAACACTCCTTTAACATTGCTGTAACACTACATTAACATTGCTGTAACACTGCTATAACTTGCTGTACTCTCTTGAAACACTACTGTAACCTTTCATGAGCTCTTGACCTCCTCCGTGGCGGTCAGTGAGAGAGTGACTGGGACTTGAACCGAAGCTCACGAGTTACTGCACTGTACTAACGCCGGCCGAGCAGACAGCCCGACACCTCACCCCAGAATTTTCCTAGTATGAGCGTGTGTGCGTGACTGTGTGTGTGAGTGTGTGATATGTAATCCCGGGTTCGATCCCCAGGCAGGGTGAAACTGTGGACAAGTTTCTTTACGCCATTTGCCTCTGTCTACCCAGCAGTAATTGGGGATCTGGATGATAATCGATTTGCTGATCGTGTTCCGGGGTAATGGTTAGCCAGTGCAGTTGGCGAGTTGTCCGGTGTTCTCGGACTATTCCTTGACCCTGGGTCATGCAGCTCTTTAACTTAGGGTGTGGTTGTTGTGTTGGCGACAGCTTCTACACCTTAATTCTGGGGTGGGCAGTACATAAGCCGATAGCCATACAAGGCAATCCGCTAGAAATGTGTGGCTGTTTCGCCTCCTGAATCATCGAGAATTCGTGGAATTATTGTAGGAATTTGATGAATGTGATTTCGAAGACGTAGTTTACTGCTCAAATACTCGTTGGCTGAGTCGTGGTAAGGTCCTGAAGCAGTTCACTGCCTTGCTTCCCCAGATTATTATTATTTTTTTAATCAGCAAATGGGAGATTCTCAGGAATTGAAAGTGAAGATTGGCAAAGTTATCTGTGAGCAAGGCCAAATGATTAGTGAGTTCAGGTCGAAACTCAGTCATCTGCTCATACAAGTCCGGAAACAGAATTTCACAGACTTTCCCAATCTGGAAAAAAATTGAGGTAGTGAATTTTGAAGTGAAAATGGTGTACAGTCTGTAGCTGCAATTCTCTGACTTTAAAAAGCTCAACTTGACTTTCCAGCTGTTGAAAGATCCATTAAGTTTCAAAGTTAAAGAGTCGTCTGAGGAGCTCGTCAGTTTGCTTTGTTTGGACAAGCTTGGATATAAAGGGGACATGTTTTTGCTGTAAAATCAGGATTCACATAGTCGATTCAACAGTCGATATCTTGTTCATATGTGAGAGAATCTTCTGAGTGATGAAGATTTGACTTGCCTGAAGACCGCAATTTCGAGGTTACTTTCCATGTTTGATTCAACTTGGCTGTGTGAGTCAACGTTCTCCTCAGTACAGAAACGATCACAACTTGCGGACATGAATGTGGAGGCGGAGATAAGATGCGCATTGTTTTCTGATTTTGACCCAGACTTTCAACAATTGGCAAAATGAAAAGATTGCAAGGTTTCCCATTGATTTAATTGATGCAGAAATGATAAACTTACTTGTGTTTATCAGGCCAGTACCGTTAAAATCGTAAAATAAATTTGTCACATAAAAATTCTGAGTTATATTTATTATGTGGCTTTAACAAATTATTATTATTATTATTATTATTATTATTATTGTGTGTGTGTGTGTGTGTGTGTGTGTGTGTGTGTGTGTGTGCGCGCACCGAATTATTTTTTTCCCTCATGTATGTAAGAAGGAAAAAGATTACATCGCTCTCTCTCTCTCTCTCTCTCTCTCTCTCTCTCTCTCTCTCTCTCTACGAATGGGGGAGATAATAATTTTCCTGTATTGGGGGAGGATAGAGAGATGCGGAGGGGGGAGAGGGGAGGGATGAGGAGGAAGAGAGAGAACGAGAGAGAGAGAGAGAGAGAGAGAGAGAGAGTTGTAACAGCCTCTTTGGTGGGACTCACACTTGTCCTGTCTATGTACGGTCAACCAAAGATGCACCGACCCCACCCTGGGTCTCGTGCTCGCAGTACTTGGTAAAGGAAGGCTGTATGTAAAGGTGATTGTGATTGGTGGATCTATTTTCGGCTGTATCACCGTCAGGATAAATATTAAACAATCCAAAGGTACAATTATTATAATGAAAAATTATTCATTGTTATTTAAGGTCATAAGAAGTTTCCAATAAAATTTGATCAGAGAATCTTGGGCAGTCCTCGTGTCTCGTTGTAGTCGAGTTTCCAAGTCATTAATATAATTTCTTCATTATTTAATTTATCGGTGATTGGTTACCTAGTTCCCCGTTGCTTAATATAATGGTTGGGCTTTATTGTTTCGTATTATATTATACTACGTACTACAGTAAACAAACGGCCTAGAGTTGCCAGCAGTCTCCAGCAATGTTCGAAGAATCTTGAACGAGACTGTACAGTCGGAGTCAAAAGTTCTGTCCCTCCCAAACTGAAGCAGTACCGACCCCAAATGAGATAAAATTAACACACCCGCACCAGTCAGGGTACGTCACTTCGGAGACTCATTCCCGTGACCGTACAATCACCGACAAAATACTCAGGACATATCTGTTAACACTACTGTACTCACACAGACATTCACATCAGGTCACAATGTTTCAGGCCCCTATCCCGTGTTATATCAGGCCAGGCACACCAAAGTGTTACTGTATACAGGATTGTTGGCCTTTCTCTGTTAATGTCGTCTCAGGTGGTACTAGAGGTGTGTTAAGAGTATTTGGTCGGCGACTGTACATTGCTTCTATACCTATACTGTCAATATATGGTGAACCAATGTAAACTTGCACGATGATTTTACTGAATATCTATTGTTCCGACCGTGTCGTATTTTTTCTATTTTTTTTTATATATAACAGCTCCCATGTTCCATATTATTCCTGTAATGATGTGTTAAATTTACTATTATATCATCTAGTCACCTTACCCTGTGCTGTTAAGGTTTTAACTGTTATTATTTGTTCAAGCCCATCTTATTTCTTTATTTAGTATTGTAACCAGCATTCTCTGTTCTCTAACGACTATCTGCATCGTTAAACGACCCACCGGCGGGTCGCGTGGCGGGAGCCGACCTTATATATAGGACCCACCAACTGACTTGAGTTAGTTCAGTTCTGTTGTCATACAGTCCACATCCTTTGAGTGTCACCTGTGACTTATACTTAATTTATTTGTGTTGTTCCTGTCGCCACCAATGTGGTATATCTATGTGAGTACCTATTTATGTCTCTGTTTGTGTCCATCTGTATTTGCTTAGTTGTATTCAAGTAATTCAGTGTTGTTTCACGTTAGTTAATTTCAGTGATAGTTTTTATATGTTTATGCAGTGTTAACGTAATCCAATGCTTTATTTTTATTCTTTTGAGGTTTCGATGTTTTGTATCACTTGTGTCTTAAAAGTTTCGATGGTGAATCAATTTGTTGTGACAGCCTACGAGGCTCTTTATTGTGTTTAATATTTAATCAATTAAATTCTTAAAGGTTTACTTTATTTTTATTCTCTTAATTTACTTCACTTTTTGTTTGGTTACGCCTAGAACCTGGATATTTAAGTAAATTAAGAGACGGCGTAACACTATATACCATTCAATATAATGCTGTTATTCTGTTTCCTCGTCCACACACACACACACACACACTGCTGTACTCTATCATATACAATACAGGGTTTAGTTGGTGACCTTGACTGCCTCTGCTTGGGACTAAATAATTTGTAGGTGTAGTGGTGATTCTTAAGGGCGATTTTTTTCCTCTCTTGATTTATTTTATTGGGTATATGTGTTCATTCTCTCTATCTCTCTCTTTCTCTCTCTCTCTCACCAATTCCCCCTTTCGCTACTCGGAAGAAAAAAACCCGCATAACTCACTTTCCATTTCACCTTCAGTCTATATCGTTGTTAACTATTATTTCTTCAACTTTTAGGGTTTGGTTAATTGCCATTGAGTTTATTATGGTCATTAAGGGGGATGAAGTGGTGGGTGGAAAAGTGTAGCAGAAATAAACTAGATTATTGTTGATAATACTGATGAAGAAGGTTGGCAGGCTTAGTCGATGCCACATTCCACTTCGTATTTATTTATTTATTTACTTATTTATGCAATTATTTATTTATTCATAGTTAATGTCTGACAACAATAAATTTTTCTTGTTTCAAATTCATTTTGTTATTAGATGAAAAATCGTTTATCTTAATTATTTATCTCATGTATATACGGTATTATATATTGTATCCAGTATAAATGATGGCAACTTTTTCTGGAGTTGCAATAGTTCTCTTAAAATTATTAATTCATCACACGTTTGTTTCTTCATTATCTTCTCTTTAATAAATGATCGTTCAGTTTATTTATTTCTCTACCATGAACGTTATGCAGTATACCGAAGCTCACTTAACCCCCACTAACACCTATGGCTCTACCGTCTTATTTGAGCGAGTATATGTGACATGTTGTGAAATATATCAGTGTATTACATTTTCTCTCCTACATGGCTACGTGTTACAATTTATCATTTATATTGCTTACCAGCTTACATCCGTTTGAGTCATATTCAGCCTTTTATTTGTATTTTGGTCTTATTTGTATATTTCTAATTTGTATGATGTTCTTATTCATTTTAATAGAGGAATGTAATTTTGTGTGTGTGTGTGTGTGTGTGTGTGTGTGTGTGTGTGTGGCATAAGGAAAATAATTTTTAAATGCTTGACCAATAATTAGCAGAATATATAACATTTATCATTACAACTTAACACAAACTAACACTGTACACACCTGAACACACTGTACACACCTGAACACACTGTACACACCTTAACACACTGTACACACCTGAACACACTGTACACACCTGAACACACTGTACACACCTGAACACACTGTACACACCTGAACACACTGTACACACCTGAACACACTGTACACACCTGAACACACTGTACACACCTGAACACACTGTACACACCTTAACACACTGTACACACCTGAACACACTGTACACACCTTAACACACTGTACACACCTTAACACACTGTACACACCTGAACACACTGAGCGACATTTTCTTCTTATCTTAACTAATTACAGTATATCACGATGAAGATTGATAAGTAGTGTATTAATTGTTCTCTCTCTTATGTTTTATTTATTGTTGATAGACAGGTGAACTTACTAGCCTTGATACGTGCTAAAAGACCTCAGTGGTGGGAGAGATTCTACAGTATTGTTATAGGTGGAGTGGCTGCCTAACGTTGGGTTACTCACAATGGCCCACCAACTACTTCACACTCCTCTCGGGAACAAGA